AAAAAAAAAAAAAAAAAATCACCAGCAGGAATTTTTCCTCATTTCCAACTAAGGAGCTTTTTTTTGCTTATTTTCCTCCCAGATGCATTGCTTTGGACCACCCAAGAAAGATGATCTTCTTTGTCATTGTTTATACCTTTCAAATACTCACGGACACATCTCTTATAACTCTTCATCATTTAGCAAAGGTGTTCGTACATACGAGACGTATATATACATCTGGCCATACACACACTTCATATAATGAGGTGTATGGCCAGATGTCTAGGTTGGAGCCATAGGCCTGGGCCCTTTTGGCTGTTTCACATCTACTGCTTTTCAGCCTAGCTGTGTGGCTGACCCCCAGCCATATGTTTGGCTGGCAGATTTGGGCCAGGGTGAAGCCTACCATGTCTTCAGCCAGAATGAGACCTGGAACTACTTGTTTTTCCAGGCCTCAGTGAAGTATAGGCCTGGTTGCCTTTTTGCTGCCCAGTTCAGGCCTGGCCTCCTTTTGTCCCTTTTTGTAATTTATGTCTCTACTAAGCAGTGTGGTTAGGTGCTAGGGGCCAAGCCAAGATAGGCCTGATCTTTCCTTCTAGTTCTTTTGCAGTTTTCTGCCCAGCAGAGCTGGGGTTGGGACTATGGATTTTGGGGTGCAGTATGCTGATGAAAGCCGCAGTTAGCCCCTCAAAGCAACCATGCGGAAGTGGAGGTAGTGCTCTACCACTTCTCCAGGAGCAAAGCAATGGAGCCCTTTGCAATGCAGAAAGACCCACACTCTCAAGCAGCTCCCCGTAGCACAGTGAACCCAAAGAACAGCTCAGGACGCTCTGGTGTGCCCCCCCTCACTCCAGCCCATTGCTGTAGGCAAGTATAGGGGTGCAGGACCCCAGAACTACCCACTGGGGTGTCCCAGGTCCTAGACTGCCTGGGTATGAGTGAAGTCTCCCCAAGAGGATGCCACCTACAGACTTTGTTTTTTAGTTACTAGTGTTTTAAAACTATATTTAACATTTTCTTTACTTTTATTTTGTTCTCTGTAATAAATCTGGGTGTTTGTGTTTATACTGCTTGTGAGGAGGTGGGGTTTGTTTAGGCGGAGCACCCTAGACATTTATTTAGTCTGGGTGGGGACTCGAGCCCAGGTAAAATATATTTAGTACCCCAAAATTGAACCCAGCCCTTGTTGCTGCCAACCGATGCCCAGCAGAAGGGTTGCATGTGACATCACCCAGGCCTTGTCCAATTAGCGAGTACCACAGTCCAGCCTCTCTCTTACTCATCTGCTTGAAGGATCTTCTGCTTTCTATGGCCAATGAAGCTAGAGGGTTGTACATATTTTGCCCAAATACAGTCCCCAGTTTACCATGTGCTGAGCACATGGCCAGAACAACAGGGGCCATCTTGCCCACATAACACACACACACACACACACACACTATACACCCCAGTGTGTATCTGTGGGTATTTCATAAATATATGGCCATATACAGACAGAGAGAGAGATTTCTATATATAAAAGACAGATCCTTAGTGGCTTTAGATAAAGCAGCAAGTGACCCCAGCTGAGATCTGGCTCATAAGTTATTTCTTATTAAACTTTAAGTCAGTGTCTCCTACTCATTAAGAGGTTTTCCCTGTCTGTTTGCCCCACAATTTGACCATGTTTCTTTTGTTTCAGAACAAGTTAATTGCTACAAAATGGAATTTAAACAGGAACAAATTGAAGAAGTAAAAGGAACCTTTTTAGAAAAGTGTCATGGAAAAACCTGTCAAAACTCTGTAATATTAAAGTTCTTTTTACTTTAATCTGTACATCTTGGTTTGTGATCAAACCAACTACAACCCAAAAAGACAAATTGGCTCTGAGCTGGAAAAAATAAATGTATCATCATCTTATGGTGCTGGCTATATTTCACAATATACTGGTTGATGGGAAAAAATCCTGGGGGAAATCCTTGCTCTACTGAAGACAATGACAACATTTCCACTGATTTAAATAGGATTTTACCCCCCCCCCCCCCCCCCC